CCATATTTGAGTGGATCTGGGGAGCTCAAGCTTCCCATTTCTTACCGTCTATTTGCAAGTTGTCCACAGAGGCCAGAGAAATGCATTTAACCACTTGAAAAGGATCATTTTGGTCTGAAAGCGACCAGGCGACAAGGGAAATTTGCCAGGACTGAGAGAGGACCCCTGGCAGGTGGCAGGAGTTGATAGAATTCAGTAAAGCTCTGGTCTTTTTCACAATCCCGTTCTAGATTTTTATTTGCTATTTTATCTTTTGACTTTGAATATAGTGAATTCTAATGTCATTCCGGATCCTGAAGAAGAAACAGGTCAGCTTTAAATTTCTTTCAGTAACATAGAAAATCAGGAGAATTTTCTGGCATTTCATATTTTTAGCAAAGTAGAGTATCCGCTCCACTTACTAGAAATGACACTTTCTCCCACCGCTTCCATCTGCATTTATGTTCTGCGCGGACTGCTGAGCTAGCTTTTCCCCCTTAGGTTTACTGCCGATGCATTTGCATTTCGGTCACAATAAATAACCAGTAAAACCCTCCAATGAGTAGGTTCCAGAATGGTTCTCTCTTAGTATGGAACTACAGACAATGATTTCTAGTCAGGATGGCTCAGAGGAAGAAGAAAGTGAACTTTTGCAAAGAAAAAAGTTAATTCAAACAAATGCTCACTGAGCCATTAGGAAATTAAAGATGAAATTGACATGGGAATTGTATAGCCAATATAACCGTGGGTGTGGAAAGAGCCACAGCAGGAAGAAATTCTCATTTCAGAGGCTGTATCTGTGTCCGTCACCACTGTTTCCCGGGCACCCCTCATGTCACCTAGCGGCCAGTGGTCAGCAAATTGCGGCTCACAAGCCACATGCGGCTCTTCGGCCCCTTGAGTGTGGCTCTTCCACAAAATACCATGTGCGGGCATGCACGTACAGTGCGATTGAAACTTTGTGGCCCATGTGCAGAAGTCGGTATTTTGTGGAAGAGCCACACTCAAGGGGCCAAAGAGCCACAAAAGTTGTTTTTGTTTTTTCAAACATGGATCATATTTTTCGGCATGGCATGTGGCATTAGAGTGGTAGCAGGATTTAAGGGGAAGTTGAGTTGAGGATACAGTTGACAGTCGTGGAATGGATAAACAAGAACAAATGTTGTATGACTGTTTGAGTGTGTCCCACAGTGCCTGGCACAGGAATTATGAGCGTAGCGGAGAATAAACAATGTTTGAAGTATAAAGTACCAGAAGCTAATCTATGGAAAACTATTTTTAAGAAGAATATATTTTCATTGATTTTGGAGAGGAAGAAAGAGGGAGAGAGAGATAGAAACATCAGTGATGAGAGAGAATCATGGATCGGCTGTTTCCTGCACACCCCACACTGGGGATCAGGCCCGCAGCTCGGGCATGTGCCCTGACCAGGAATGGAACCGTGACCTTCTGGTTCATGGGTCAATGTTCAACCATTGAGCAACACCGGCTGGGACATCCTGTATTTTTACTTGCTAAATCTGGCAACCCTAATCCAGAACCCACACTTTGTACATGTGAAAAAAAGGAAGCCCTTGAGAGCTAAGCCAGCTGTTCAAAGTCAAGTAGCAAGTGAGTAGCTCCGCAGGAATTCAAACCAGAGCTGTCTGACTCTCAAGTTGAGACCAAATAATGCTTTAGACAGGCCAGGCTAAGAAATGAAGTC